AATTACAAACCTCCACAGGATCTACAATAGCAACACTCAGTTTCATCTCATAGCTCCTAGTAAATTGGCACCATCAAGCTTTGCACCTTCCAATGCTGTTCAAAACATAAAAAGAAAAGTCACATCCTCAATTTCTTGCCTTGAAAGATACAACTATCAACTATCAACTAAGTTATCAAGGAAAGATCTTGGCCTTCTCAATGCTACAATGGACCTTAGATTATGCACATGTAAAAATATACTACAATTTGAGAGTTGAGACGAACAAAAGGAAAGCTATAAGCCCAGGCATCCCTAATGAATTCAAGAGAGGAAAGTAAATACTAAACTTGGAATGCAACATTGTTCATGTTTAGTAACCTGATCAATCTATTTTTTGGTTTTGAAAACAATAACCAAAAGAAAGGTCACAGAATGCCGAGCAGCTTTCATTACCGTATCTCGAAGATTCACTTGCCGTAAATAAGCTCGTTGAAGGTTTGCATCCTTCAAATTGGTATTGCTCAACTTGGCACCCTAGCATGCAAAAAATTCAGCCAAACAAATCAATTATGATAGTGGTAGGGAGCAGATTCTTTTAAGATTCATTCATGCAAACATAATGTGATAGAAGATGAAACTACAGATTTTTTTCTTTGATATTCATTTTAGGTAAACAAGGGGGTATTTCTCCATAACAACCTCTTATACCACTTATACGATTGTCATATATATGAACATTCTTAATCACGGAATTAATGTTTCGAAAAAACATGCTGAGTTCTTTCTTTCAACATTAAATCAAATAACGTATAAGAAATGTGCGCCTCTCATATGAAATTATACACAAATATGATATATAGAGGAGGAACATGAACAAAAGTTGGCTCCGTAAACTAAAAGATAAGTGCCATAAACATATTTCACTATGTGAAATCAATTTATTTTATGTCAGCCACATGAATACATTTTTTCAATTGAGCCATTTCTTAAATATTTCGTTTTACCTTGTCTCTGTTCGCCACATGTATCCACCCCTGCCCCATGTACACTCCCTAATTAATTTAAATTGCACTTAATGATACTCATGAACCATTTATTAACGATAAGTCCATCCCACGAAAGCATTGAGGAATAAATCTGGCACAGCTTCTAAGAAAGAGACATGCAGCACCAAATTGTTAACTGACTCTTCCTACTCATGCAACGTCAATAAAACAAAACCTGTTGCCTACAACATGTAGGAAAAAAAAATATATACAATATAGTATACACTACACACTAAGCAAGAGAATATGTAACAAAAAAGTGACTCTTACTGCACATGCAGCGTCAATAAACAAAAACTGTTTCCTCTTCAATGTCAAGATATTTAGAATGCATCATTAAAGAAAAAGCACCACAGATTTTACATTGCTTTTCTTTTTATACCGGCATCACTCACCTCTAGTGACTACCTAGTCCAATGTCAAGATATTCAGAATGCTGAATCCAAAGTAGAAAATAATTAAATGGATATCTTACATTGCTTTTCTTTTTATACATTCACCACTCACCTCCAATGACTACCTAATGCAATCACCAAACATTTTCTCAAAAGCACCACAGATTTGATGCCAAATCTAATATGATAAACATGTTGGTGTAGAGTTTATCTACATCACTAGTGCTAAGAATGAGTATGTAACTAAATACCTCTAGGAAGTAGCCAAGAAAGATAACTCAAGGAGAGAGAAACTGAAATGTCTCAGATTAAAATATGAGAGCTAATTGCCCTAGTACTAAGGCAGCTGAAAAGTCTAATAGTAGAACATTAGAACTAATCCCTAAAATGGTATTCTTCTTGAATGTCCCTTCCCTAGTTTGGTTATATGTAGGGAATCAGAAGCAAAAGATTATTACAAAGTACAAATAATGGGTCCCAAATCTACCCATTAATTGTTTGCTAGAAAAATGTAGGTCCACAGATAAGGATCCCTCCATAAAGGTGAAACAAACAAGGGAATGGAAGAATCATTTTTATATTTCTATCCCCTTCCCTCTATTATCTCAGAGCAAACAAAGCTTTAAAAAAAGGCAAAAAAATTGGGTAGAAAATGAAAACTATCTAATGATACTCTTCTCCTCCAAAAAAGGAGAGCAAAGATATCTCCCCTCATGTTGCAATGTATTAGCAAGCCGATGGAGCTACGTGGTTCAGAAACTTAGAATTATGACAATTCATGAGCTTCTTTAGAAGTCAAACAGGATAATTGAGCTCTCAAAATCAATTTATAGGAATGCTTTTAATCTCTTAAGCATAGGAGACATATTTCAGACCTTTTTGTTTTGTTTTTGTTTTTTATTTTTTTGGCACATAACCTCCAATTTACCTTCAAATTTGCTCCTTCCAGAATAGCTCCCTCTAAATTGGCATTTGTAAGATCAGCATTCTGAAAAAATATGAGAAACAAGTAATATATTATTACCCTCTCTAAGTACCAAATCCTAAGGCATCTTGCACTCATCGACAAACAAACGATTGAATGATTAATTGCAGTGCGATCAGCATGAAAATCAGGAAATTCTTCTCTTTTTATTGGCAACCTCCTAATACAACAATATTGAATTCATAACGATTAACAGAGAGAGACAGAGACAGAGACAGAGCTTTTTTCTTTATGGCTATATTTTGGTAGACATCTTTTACTTTCCTTCTTATTTCCTTCAGTTTCTAATAGCAGAGTCATCTTCCTAGTGGTCCTTGTGTTTTCATGCTTTCTGACTATGAGTCATTTAGAAAGAAACATCTTATCTCACATATGTAATAGGTTCCCATGATGGACTGGCCTTACTAGATTGTAAGGAATATCTTTATTGTGCAGTTCACTGGCAACGAACAGAAGGAATCACATACAAAAGCTTACAATAAGTAAGCCAATCTGCCAGTGAATACGAATTACAGAAAGGCTTTTCTAGACAGATTTATTGTTGTGCTCATTGTAGTCTGAAATCAATTATCTATAAGCGCCAAAAGCAAAATCATGAGCCAAGATCATAAAGAGCATACTGCGAGTAGGAAGTGGAATTAATCCTCCCAAATAAAACCAACAGGAATCTGAAATTTATGCTGCAAAGGAGAGGATTGGGATGTCTTAAAGTGTTCCTATTTGAATTGAAATCTTTATTTTAAATTCTGAAGGTTATCACGCCAGTAAATTCTATTGCTGATAGTTCTTCTCATTCAAATCTGCAAGAACTATGCCCGTTGTAAAATTCAAAACTTGGCAACAGCCGCTGGAATATTTCCTGACAGCAGCAGTTTCAAGATTGGCACTCATTATAAACTATCAAGCGAACTCCAATGCTTCTAATGTTTTCCAGAATGGTAGACACATATGTCTAAGCTTAATACTGTAAATTTTCAGATTTGTTGGAGTTGTGCTCTCTTTTCAAGAATTTTTTAAAAAATTCCTGTGTCGATTGATAATAAATCATATCATTTATATGAAATAAAAAAAATAGGGGCAAGAATTATAGTTGGATCTGGAACCTCTGCTTGTTTTTTCTCTGCCATGATCTGCTTGACTTTTATTATAAGCATGACACCTCATTTAAAATATATCTAAAGGCTAAAAAATTGACAACACCTCATCTTTAAACACTAAAAAAACATTAAACCTAGGAAGTAAAAATTCTCTTTAACCAAATCAGGTTTTCCCCCTCGCTCTGCAGTAAGAACCAAACAAGATGATCAATATCAATCCTTAAATCGGGAAAAAAAGTGTAGGGTCCTTCAATTTCAAATATTTGTTCTTAACAAACACTTCAATTCCAGTATTTTACACTGGAAAATTATTGTTGATTTCAATCATAAAATTTTAGTCGTGTATTTGGCCAAATAGGCATTTGCAAAATTCTGAATATTTTCTGCAGCCATGCCAGCACCATCATGTTCTTTTATTCAATTTTTATCAATATGCTTTGTAATAATCTTTTCTTATGCGAGAAAAGAAAGATATATGTTCAATGTGTTAGAAAGGTAATTTCAATTGTATTTCTTGAACTTGGGAAGGTGATACATATTGTCCCAAACACATGAGAATCAAGATGGGGGAGAAAAACTTGATGTGAATACTGGGACGACAATATTTATTTGTTCAGTTATTGTTAAAGGTTTTTCTTTTCTATTCTATTTAAAATTATGTGGCAGTCTTTTAGCCATTAGATATATTTTAAATGAGGTATCATACTTAGAATAAAAGTCAAGCAGATCATGGCAGAGAAAAAACAAGCAGAGGATCCGGATCCATTATAGTTAGCTTGTAAAAGAAAAATATAAAGTCCTATTCATCACCCTCTAGGATGCAATTTCATTCATGTGCCACAGAAAAATTCTAAGCCTAAATTTCTATTTTGCTTTAATTCGTTAAAATCCATGACTTTATTTACTGGTTTTTTTTGGGGTAACAAAATCTGTAGAAAAGACAATGGGAATGAAGTAGGAAAAATAGGCTTTTGTAAGCTCAACCATTATTGGCAATCGACTCTTAAGGATAAAAAGAAAAAAGAACCAAAGTAATACAGGCAACTGACAGAATATACGACATGCAGTTAACTTTGCCCTCATTAATGGAAGTAAATATGTTTGGCACCATAGTATAGATTCAATGACGTTAGATGACTAGTTCATCTTTCTTGTATAACGCATCACAGACAAACAGTTACTATCTCATTAATGGATGTTCTGGAAAACCAAGGAGGACAAATTACTTGAAAAATAAGTGAGCTACATATTAAAATTATAAATACAGAACCTGTAGGTGTGCAGAACGCAGGTTTGCCTGGCAGAAGCTAGAATTAATCAAGCATGCATCTGCAACAGGGTAAAACATGATTAAAAGGAAAATTCGAAGTCTTAATAGGGGTAAACGAGGCACATAAACTTACTAGAAGTTAAAAAAATTAAAGAAAAAAATTAAGTTCATGTTAACAGAACGCATGCCAAGGAATTTTAGGCAACATTAGGATGGAACTAACAAATAGAATATTACTAAAATTTTATCACAATGGAAAAAAGTTTGCCTTGTAGATTTGCACTTTGAAGATTAGCTCCAGCCAACAAAGCTCCACGGAGATTTGCCCCAGTAAATTCACATCTTCCCTAGGTAAAAGATAATTGCATTAATCAGGCAGCCCAGTAACATATTATACATATTATATAATCAATATCACTGCTGGGGAATTTCAATGCCATACTCCCGCAACGTTGCATTGTGAAAATTGGTGCCCTCAGCATCCACATCCTGCGACAAAATATGAAAGCTTCAATAGTCATGCTGATGTTATAAAAAGAATGGACACCCTATATACCAATAAAATAAACAGTAGAAAATCTTTAACTTTAATACAAGTGTACAATTAAAACTCTGGATCGTGGATGCTAAACCAGGTCGATGTTCTTTTATAGAAAATAGAGTGGGTATTTCTAACAAGATATAGCATGTATAAATAACAGTAGTTGTTCTCAACAGACCAGATGTACCATCTAATCACTTAAACTTACCTTGAACTTAGCACAATGAAGGTTTGCACGTGAGAAAAAGACATTTCTCAGACATGCATAGCTGAAGTCAACAAATGACAGGTCCTGCAATTCCATTGATAAAATAAGACCACAACATCAAAGACACAGTATCAAACAGAGTTTTTCTTGCATTTTTACCATCCAAAAGAAGTTCCTAATTAAACAAAAGAATCAATTTCGAAAGTTGCACTCATATGCCTCAGTTTGGTAACACAATTGGCTAAGTTTAAACTGGCTTTTCTCAAGCAGCTTCAAATCAACTGTAGAAAAGCTGCAGTAACGTACTTGAATTCCTTCAGGTCCTGTGTGCTGTGCAGAACATTTGGTGAATACCAATTGTCATCATGACCCAAATAGATATCACTAGTGGTTATTCACTAGCAGGATTAAATAATCTAGCAATGAATGTAAGTGGTTTCAACATGCTTAAAGGAAAAATTTTCTCATTCTTAACATATATTCAAAATTAAATTCAATATGTAATAAATTTTGGTTATAAAAGGAACAGTACACTAGGCTTGAAAGAGGGCATTGCAGAGAAAATGCAGATGCATGGATCTCTTTAGGGTGCCACATTCTGTGCCTGTAATGCTGATGCTACATGTTCTAAACGGAAACTAGCTAAGTGTAGTTTGCAGTTAAAGTGTGTTTTTCCAAATTTCTAGAAAACGAATCCTACACGGGACAAATCTACTGCTAGAACTGTTTCAGAACTGAGAACCTGAGAAATTACCAATTTCGAAAGGTCAAGGCCAGAAAGATTGACACCTCGAAACCTGACTCTCTCAGACTGTATACACTTGATGATATCAGTACGTGTTAATTCTGTATCTAACTCTTCATCCTCCTTCGTCTTATTTAGGATAGCATGTATCCCATCTATCAGCCCCTGAAACAGTTTCATAAGTTCATAGCATTGTTGATACAAGATTACTGATCAAACAGAAAGAGGCAGCACCCATCTCTAAATATGGCAGGATTAGTTGTGATGGGAGAAAGAAATGGCAAAATGTTTGACATGTAAATTTATTAGTAGATTGATGCATGAATCTCAGCACAGGTATAAACTCCACTACTTCAACATAGTTAGAGATGAAGAGAAAAATACATAAAATGGTTTGGAGTTGTATAGTTGCAATATATAAGGATTTGTTTTATTGCCGACAGACTGGAATTATAAGCATTTTATGTTAATAGATTGTGAATCTGAACTAGTAACCACGTTGATCATTGCTTGAATGTGTAGTCCAGATTCACAGTTTGGCAATTAAGATGCTTATGTTGCCAGACTGTATATCGCAAGAGAACAATACCTCTTATATCATATACACTTATATAACAGAAAGTAGTTAGAAAAATGACGCCTTATAAGAAACCAAGATTAATTACGTCACTTGTGTCTTTGAGTTCACTTGGATAGTAAATAAGGCCAACTGACCAGTATAAAAAGACAAGTTGGCAACCACGACAATTGCTCCCATGGGCCACACATGACTAGAAACAAGTAGGAAATAGCACTACAGGCATTGAATAAATCCCTCTAAAGAGATCCATGCATATGATTTCCTCCGTAGTGCTCTCTCTCAAGCCTAGCATATCATATTACCGAAATTATGACATTTTTCAATCTATATTGAATCAAAACTTTCTTTAGCAAACTGAAATCACTTACATTTGTAACAGTGAGCATTCAAGTTTATTTGAACCTCCAATCAGTTTAAATGAGGAGGAACCAAAAATTCATGATTTGAATAAACAAGCATACAACATGAATTAAAGTGCAAACCTGATGAACTCAAAATATATCACTAACTTTTCTAAACAAGAATATATGAATATTAAAACCACACTTACAAGAAGTTGATAGTATTCAGCCTCCCTAAGAAGTTCTGTATATTTCGAATCTTTTAATGTGGGAACAACACCATCCCTCAACCAATTAAGGATGTGCCGGAAATGTTCGCCATCCCTATCAACAAATACATATCCCTGCAAGAATAAAAAAGGATATAAAATATTTGAGAAGTTTTTATAAAAGGGTTCCCAAATGAAGGAATTAACAATCTTCTAATAAACTGCATGAGGAAGAAAAACTTGCTTGACATATTAATAGCTACTTGGTTTCATTTGATGCAGAAGTGTACCATTTCATTAAACAATAGGATAGTGTTTAATCTAATAGACTGATTTAAAAATCAAACTACGCTGAAATTGATCCACATCTTTTAGTCAAGCGACATTGTTTAAAAGAATTTCTCCGAGCTTCATTCCTCCACATCTAACATATGCTTGGGTTGTTGTCGGGCAATGGTGATCATGGAAAGTTGTTTACGACAATGCCAAACTTAACATTCGATGAAAATGCAAGACAGAAATTGCTCCAACCAAGCAGAATTGTATACCTCTTCGGGGTCCTGACAGAGAGTATGGCGACCGCTGAACATAGCAGCCAGCATGGAATCTGGCTCACGCTGAGTCAAAGTATCAATGGTAGTGCAAAACTTCTTTCCTCCTGTTGACAAACAATAAAAGCATACCAAATTATGTACCCAATTCTCAAGTTCTATAGTATAGGTACAGTATCAAAAAGTCCAATAATTAATCTACATCATCAACTAGTTACAACTTCAATTAGTTATAAACACACATATGCATAGCTCTTCCATTCAAAGGTTGCACTAATTGCCTTACATGGCGAACTTTTTCCCAATCTCATCCCGTAGAATCAAAATATTCAATTCATTTTCCTTATTTGCTTGGTTTTCTCCGGCACCAAAATTACAAAAATATATTCTTTTCAGAGACTAGGGAGCAAATTAAAATTTAGGGTTTACACTTCCATTTCAGAGCAATCAAGTCGATTTAAAGAAACAGCAAATTCACATTCAGATGGATTACAACAGGGAGAGGGAGCTGACCGATGTTGAGGCGAATCAGAGTCATTCGTCATTGATTTGAGGGCTTCGATGAGGAAATGAGTTGAAAATGGCCGTCCCAGTAATTCAAAGCTCTCAACTTGTGTTTATTTGTTTGGTTTCCAAATTATGGCTTTAGGTTTAACGTTGAAATTTGCAGCCTATTTGGAGTTCAAGTTGGCTGTGCTTTACTTAGCAACGGAGAAAGAGAATAAAGAAAATAACTATTATTATTTTTAATTTTTACAATTTTTAAAATTTAAATAAATTAAGATTAAAAAAAATTGGAAAAAAAAAAAAAAAAAAAAAAAAGGAAAAAAAATATAATAGTTTAGTAATAAGGACAGAAATCCTCAATAGCTTATATTTTATAGTATAAATACTATATTCATGAACATCAACTTAAATTATTTTTCTTTAGGCTGCTTAGATCTAAGTTCAAAACGATTAGTTGTCATTGTTGTTTAGTCCACGCGTTTTTAGTTTTAGATGTAAGTCCTTTGACATTTATAACTTTTTTTGTCGTATCGATTTTACCATTTGATGTAAATAAGGAAAACACATTGAAAATCTAAATTTAATGCATTATTTCCTTGTAATTGAATTTCAGAATTTAAATTTTGAATTATTTCTTTTATAATATTTACCTAATATAAGAATAAAATACAATTTAATCAATGATGTTGTAAATGCATGAATTTATGGATAACCATACCTCTTAGCATTCACCCTTTCTAATTCTATGTAACATATACACTAAATATCATAGTTATGGGCTTGTAACTTATGAGTTGTTAATGTCTTCTTATCATTATAAGCCTATAAATAAGAGGTCTTATCAAGATGAGAGAGACAAGTTGATTGACACAAATTATGTTGTCTTTCTCTACTTTCCAATTCTCTCTGCAATTTTCCCTTATTTATATAACACGTTATCAACACGAGCCTCCAACCACTTGAGATTTTATTTATTTATTTATTTATAATATCTTAGAAATAGAGTAGTTTCCTCTTATATATCGCAATATAGAACTCTTGTCACATAGGCTTTGGCAAACGGAAAGAAGTGCTTCAACAAAAGGAAGCTGAAAAACAAGATTCCAAACATATACGAATTATTTTATTTTTATTTTCATTTATAGTGCATATGAAATTTGATATTTTACAAAGAAATTAGCATTTTAATTATAGATATCTATCTTGTCTATCTACTTACAAGATTTCAACTGTATTTTGTTATTTGTCAAACGTTCAAGATTTTTGTTAAGAGTAAAGATCAATGTGATATTTCATGTCACCAATCTTTATGAGGTAAAGTGTGATAATCAAGAATTTCAATTCTTATATAACTAATGGAGGACACAAGAAGTTCCTTAGTTCTTATTCAATCATGTAAGAGCCAGAAGATCCTCATATTTCAATCATTATAATATAAATATTTGTGGAATTGAAGTTCCTCAATTCTTAAAAGACAAATGAAGACCTAAAGCTCTTGGATTCATTTTTCGTTCGAACAAAAAGTTTCAACAATTTATTTTATTACAATATTTAAATTTTTGTTGTATTTTATTTCTACTTAGTTCTTTTCTTTAGTGTTATTTTTATTTTATACAAGGACCCGAAGTCCCTAAATTATATAATTAAAGAAAGACCCGAAGTCTCTTAGTTCTCAATCCATATAATATCTATATAAGGACTTGAAGTTCTGCAATGCTCAAAAAGTAAATCAAGACTTGGAGTTCCTTGATTTTTCTCTAACTTGGAACTAGAAGTTTCAACAATTTATTTTATTCTAGCATTTAATTATTATTTAATTATTATTGTTATATTTAGTTATTTGTTTTGATTTCAATAATTTATATTTAAGGACCTAAAGTTCTTCATATGACCCGAAATTCAAATACCTTAAAACCCGAAGTTCAAATATCTTAGAATCCGAAGTTCTTACTATGTCTAATCCAAACTATAAGTTTCAGCCACATGTGCATTATAATAGGTAAATTCTAGAACCTAAAGTTCTAATTGTGTCAACCTCCAAATTGATATTTCTACAAGTGCATATGTATTATGATTTAGGGCTGAAAAATATACCTCATGTTAAGGACCTGAAGTTCCAACATTATTTGGATTTTATGTCTTCTATGTTTTTATTATTGTCGTCTTATTTTATTACCTTGAACAATATCATATCCTACAAATTTGGACCTGTAGTTCACCAGGTATTCTTTTCATTTGATATAGGCACTCGAACCTGAAGTTTCAGATATACGTTAATATATATCCAAAGTTCATAATTGTCTATTGAGATTAATATTAATATGAACTCGTAGTTCATATCCTATCAAGAACCTGTAGTTCTAGCATAACATATATAAAATGTTAATTGAACCTGAAGTTCAGAATGAAACGAATGGAACTTTCAAGTTCATTGGTTCTTAGTTTTTATTATTCTTATATTTGATTAGAACCCAAAGTTCTTCAATTATCATATCTATGCTATTGCTATCAAATTGAGCTTGAAAGACCTTTGATTTATCATTTAGTTTTGAACATATTTTTCTTAAAATCAATACTTTTATGTGATCTTTTTGAACTTGATGTTCAAGATCAAATTCAATCTATAGCCAGAAGTTTTATTTATATTACTCTCTAGAATATGAAATTCTACACTTCAAAACTTGAAGTTCGAAACTTTTTAAAATTTCAGTTTATAATAGAAATTTACAAATATCTTCATATTAGAACATGTAATTCTATAAATTAAATTTATCTTAGAACCTAATGTTCGATATATTCAATTTATCTTATAAAATTCTATTTTAGGTTTCACATTTTATCGTTTTTTATTTTTATTTTTAGAACTCAGTGTGATTATTAATGTAAGTTTTTTGTTTTTTTTTAAATTAGTACTACTTTATTGTCTTTGTGAATTATTTATTTATATCTTATTTGAACAAGATGTTTTATGTTAAGCAATTAGTTGAAACTAGAATTTTCATTATACATATTTGAAATACAAAATTTAATTTGAGATTATAAAAATCTAAACTATTTGCAATGACATACTTAATTCAAAACCTGAAGTTTTGATTACACATTTTAATCAAAACCTGAAGTTTTGGATATTTAATTTGTATTATGAACCAGAAGTTATCTGCAAACCAGAAGCTATGGATTTTGAAATTTTAAGTCCACAAAGAATGTTTTAAGTATACTATATGAACCAGAAGTTTAATGAAATTTTTTTTTCATGGATATCTTGAAATGTATATTCTTATATATACAAATAAGAATGAAAATACAGATCCAAGTAGGATTGTAATGTGGAAGAGCATAAAGGAATAAATTTATTCCAGGTGCTCCAGCAGTAGCAATATGGAAAATATTAGGGCTAGACTCGGTTTGGTAACCGAACTAATGAGCAAGTACCGCTGACCGACCGATAATAATCGATTTATCAAAAATTAAAACCGTCGCCGATCGATTTGAAGTCGGTTCTCCGACTGTCGGTAATACCGCACGTAGCGGTCGGGCCAGTTCAATGGTGGGCCTACCGAAACAAACAGATTGGGCTTTTTTGACCAAAACTTTTTAGCCCACTTTACATTTTTTGGATTGCAAATTGAGATTTGAATGCAGTTTTTAGCCTAGTTTTGTTGGGCAATGTTTTAAGGATTGTTTTGGACAACTACTTGGGCAAAGATGATAAAATAAGAAATTTGAGCCTAATTTTTGTAAAACTACATTCAAACATGCTCAAAACGTAAATTGATGCCTAAAACTAAACTAAACATCCAAATCCAAAGTGAAAGTACGACATAGTTAAACTTAAGTTACAAGTTACAACCCAATAAAAGAAGAAGTTTGAATTAGTTTACAACCCGAAAAAAAAAGTGTAAGTTTGAATTAGTTTACAACCCAAAAAAAAAGTAGAAGTTTTAATTAGTTGACAACCGAAACAAAAGAAGAAGTTTGAATTAGTTTACAACCCAAACAAAAGTAGGCACTTCACTTGAGCATTACAAATGTGATGGAGTTGGAGGAGGCAAAATGATTGTTGAAGTTGAAACTTGAGCATTACCACCTTGACCCTTAGTGGCCACTACATGAAAAAAAGAAGAAAGGAAAATGTACATATTAGAAGAAGCATTAAACCATCAAAGCATCAATAAAATCTAAAGATAAATAATTGAAATACTTACTTGCTTGAATTTTTTCAAGTTCCTTATAAAAAGCAATTTCCTCATTCGTTGGTTCCTTGTATAAGTTAAATTCGTCTACCCTAAGCCAATCATGAGTACACACTAATGCCTCTACCATTTTTGGAGTCAATGAGCTTCTAAAAGGATCCACAATCTTTTTGCCTAGGCTACAGGCATTCTCACTAGCAGCCGTAGAGGAAGGGATTGCAAATACGTCATTGGCAACCTTGAAAAGGATTGGATATCTTGATTGATTCCCTTTCCACCAATCCAAAAGGTTAAAGTTTTTGTTCCTTGGGTTTTCAAATTTATCGGCAAAGTATTTATGAACTTCATTAGAGATCTCCATTTGTTGTTCCTCCTTCCTTTGAAGCAACATCTCCCTCAACATTTGAGAATGAGCATCATCACCATCAAGCTCATCTTCCAAACCTTCCTTATCCCCCTCATCTAGTGTTTGTAGAGGACCTAAGTTACCAACCCCTTTATACTCATTATACAAAGTAAGCAATGCACTTTTGACTTCATCCCCAATAGTTTCATCCTTTGAATGTTCAGCTCCAAGATTGCGAAAGCTAATCTTGAGCAAGGCAAGCTTCCATTTAGGGTCTAACACATTCCCTATAAACACAAGTTTGTTGACACCCTCAAAGCTACCCCAATACTTATCCCACTTGAGCTTTATTGAAAAAGTCACCTTTTGCAAAGTTTCATTCCCCCCATATTTAATTTTTCTTTCAATCTTAACTTGTAACCCAACTAATTCTGTAAACTGATATTGGATGTACAAGTTTTGGTGGCACTAAGCTTTAGGGTGATTTCATAAAACTTTTTAAGAAAATGCACAAAGGCTTGTGCATTCTCCCAATCCGACTCGGTTGGGGGCCCAACTCTCTTCACAAGGTTTTTTTTTCCATCCCTCTCAAGCTCATTAAAGTAAGCAACAAATGGAGCATTCTCGTCTGCTATCCTAGCAAACACATTTTTATACTTAAATGCACCATCAAGCATCTTATAAGTGGCATTCTACCTTGTTGCCACATCCAAAGGAATGTTTATCATATTATTCACTCTCTAAAATGGCAAAATCCCTAAACTTATCCAACCTTGATGGTGAAGAATGTATGTATTTCACACAATTTCTAATCCCTTCAATTGAGCTAGAAAGCTTCTTCAAACCCATCCTTAACAACCAAATTAAGAATGTGACAAGCACATCTGATATGAAAATATTTTCCGTCAAGCATAAGAGTGTTCAATGACTTAAACCTCTTGGCCATATACTCCACCACCCCATCATTTGCACTAGCATTATCAACCGTAATGCTAAACACCTTTTTTATCCCTCAACTATTCAAACAAGCATCTAAACACCTCCCAATGTCATCACCCTTGTGACTTGTGATCTTAATGAAATTTATTATCCTCCATTCATGATCCATGAAATGGGCAGTGACTACTATGTAGTTGAAGTTTTGGATAGAGGTCTAAGTACCGATTGTGATACTTACTCTTTGATCACTTATCGCACTCATAATCTTAGTCTTATCGAATAAGTACAAATCCCACACTTCCTTAGCAACCTTCTTCCTATTAGGGATCATGAATCTAGGTTGAAGATCATTTATAAATTCCCTACACTACAAGAAAAAATTCATTTAACAACATGAATTGTGCGTTGTTGAAAGGTATCAACAACATGCGGTGCACGCTGTTGAAGCCAATGTCGTTAAAAGGTCCAGGGCTTTTGACAACAAGCTTTGCATGTTGTCATTGATATCAATGCTCGTTGTCAACACCATTAAAGGTAACGCGCACATGTTGTGAAAGAGGCTTACAACAACGCGTTTAGCGTGTTGTTGAATACCTAATTGACAATGTTTATATGCACGTTGTTGTTAACTTTTTAACAGCAATCTTTGCACATTGTGATATTAAATAGTATTGTTTTATAATTATTTTCCATTGTTTTAGTCACTGTAATCATTTTAATCACCTTAATGCATGAAAAATACATAATCTGTTTAAATTTTTTTTGCCATTCCATTAACAAAAAAACCGTATCAATTGCTTATTTATATTATTCAAAAGCATACAATATCAGAGGTACAATAAAACAAAATAAAATCTAGAAAAAATGAAAGTATTTTAGGGCTGCTAGCTGCATGCCTAATTACAAGAATAATCCTAAACCAAATTTATTCCCATGATTACCCTACAAGTCAATACACATGTATACCTTCATCATCACCAAATAAGGTACAGTCAAGCTTCTCCTTTGTAGTTCTTCGACTTTTACCAATATCAACAAACTCCTCGTGACATAATCCACCAAGCTCCCCCTTACTATGCTTCCGAGCTTTTTTCACCCTCTTAGATATCTTCTGAAAAGGTTTGGACAAGAAAAAACAAAGAGAATGATCTTATAATCATAAACTATGTGCATTGAGAAAGAAAAACAAATGCATATATAACTACAAGAAAATATGAATAATGCTTACAATTCGGGACGAAGTTGCTAATGAAACCCACCTATCCAAACACAATTCAGTATGACAATATGCTTCAAAATTCACTTTACAACACTAATAAAATTCAAATAGCATTATCTTAAAAAATAACAGAAAAAGAAAAAAACTAAACAACACTCCCAATGAAACCTGAAACAAATTGATGATGGTCTCCAACTCATTCACTCATGAATATAACAACAAAAATCAATCTCTAACACATCAAACCACATGTAACCTATGCAAAAACCTCCTGGTACTAGCAGACACAAGCTAACAAGAATCAAAGTTGCATTTGATATGTGGCCTTGGCCATTTATCAAAATCCCCTGCATTTTTGTCTGAAAACTCATTTTAGCAGTCATCCATTGTAATTTTCACGAACAAAAAAATTCCCTAGAACAAAGAAACTAAACACACAAAAAAAGTGATTTTTTGCGTGTGTCAAAGTGGGGTTTCAAAATTAAACTTGTTCTCCATTTGCACAAAGCCAACAAATCTTCAAGAAACAAAATTATAGGAAAAACAAAAGATTGGAACCTAATTTAGAATCCTCACCTTGCCTATAAATGCATCTAAATAGAAACTGGAAACTATAAGCCTGGACAAATTATTAACAAAGATTGGAAACTAAAACTCAAAATATAAATTAAAAACTCAAACCTCTTGAGGGTATTGGTGGCGTGAGAGGACATCTTCTTTAACTTTGGTGGAGTAATCTCCTCTGCTTTTCAATTTCCTCTTCTCTTTTCATCTCCTTCAAAATAGCACCTACAAACAAGACCTTATGCCCAAGCCCCAAATCAGATTTCATGGAGTTAATGGAGTTATTTTAATAGAGAGATGTTTCATAATTAGAAATCAGTGTTCCAAATTCCAAACAAAATAAAGAATGAATCCAAAACTAAAAACAAATTGAAAGTTCATAACCAAATGAACACATAGGGAAATTTAAAACTAGTGGTTCTATTAGAGATTTCCAATAAGATTCAAGTAAGAATGTGAAGTACCAACTAAAAATAGAGAGATTCAAACTAACATCCAAAAACAGAGCAAAGAATGAGCAACAAGCTAACACTTAGAATGGAGCAAGAAATAACTCACTTGAGATTGAGAATGGGCAAGTCACTACAAAGAGAAAGCCCCAAAAAAGGAAACCCTAACAATAAAAAGAACAAATTAGAAAGAGATTGTAGAGAAATTAATAGAAAGATTGGATTTAGGTTGAAAATAAACAGCAGCACATGCCAATAATTTAAAGAAAATGAAAATAAAACACAAGAAAATGATGAAAATAGATTGAAAGAAGAGAATGAATACCATATATCTAGCAGAATTTGAAGTAGATTCCTTCACGAGTAGAGCGACTTGCTGGAGTGGTGTCTTCAGCCCACCCAACAGAATCAGAGATGCCTAAGGAAGGAAAAAAAACACTTTTAGCCTTAAATCGAATGGAAGGAATTGTCAATGCCCAAATAAATAAATTGAAATCCTATGTATTGACAAAAATTACATAGAGCAATTCAAAGAATAGCCTCTAAAAACCCAATCAAAATCCTAAATCCTTCATAACAATCAAAACCAAAATTGGATCCCAAAAATAACCTAGGAAGTTGAAAATCAAAAGAGAATAATCAAAAATTTAAAATTAAAAGTTAATTATAATTTTTGTTAGCCATAGAAAAGAGGGATGGGGCCTTACATATGCTTCCTTTGCTTGGGCTTCGCAGAACAGATGAAATAGAGATAAAATAAGGGGGAGAAAGGGGTGTTTAAGAGAGATAGGTTGAAAACCAAACGAACGATAGAGGGGGAGAGAGGTGGGAGAGGGGGAGATAGGTGGAAGAGGAGGAGAGAGCGAGATGGCTTAAGGCTGAATGGGTTCTCAATTTGAACTTGGTTTTCAGAAGAAAAAAAAAACCAAGTTTGCTCATGAGGGAGTGTGCTTAGTCCAAAAAAAAAAAGAGGAGGGAGTTTGTGAAAAAATTTCCCGCATAAACTTTGTTGTCACTTGGTATATGTTTTCTTACCAAAAAAAAAAAAAAAAAAAACACATACTAGGCACGTTGTAGACTTCAGTGAAACTTGCAACGCACTTGTGTGTGTTGTAGAATAGCCGTTTAACAACGCGCAACTCCTACATGTTGTCAAAAAAAATTTAGGCAACGTGCATTTAAAAGCATGTTGTAAAAGTACATTTTATAACACCCATTAAACGCACGTTGTTATATTCATGTTGTTATATGATATTTTTCTTGTAGTGCTAAACCTCGTCCCCGTTATATGGTATTTTTCTTGTAGTGCTAAACCTCGTCCCCTCCACCGCCCTAAAAGGAATTTCATCCTTGATGATGTACTTCACACACTTCATTTCCGATCTTGCTTGATTGAAGGTGTGAGGTACCAAAGTACTACTTGCCCCCCTTGTGCTAGCACTGATTGGTTTGCATAACCTTTTCCATAGATAGGAGATAGCTTGCATCTCCTTTCTAAGTGGGTTTTCAACCCAGTTGTCCCATTTCTCTTGGGATCCGCCATCATCTCTGCTTTGCAATAATTGCAAACCCCAATTATTCTCTCAACCCCCGTATCATCCTTCTTTCTAATTTTTGTACAGTGATCCCACACCATACTCTTATTCGGTTTCCTCTTCCCTCCCAAATGAGATGATGACACAACTTCTTCTTCCCTCCCATAATTGTAACCATGCCAAAAAAATTCAAACAAAGCAAATGCAAATTTAAAACCCTAACCAACAGCCAGCTATAACATTTCATATAAAAAAACATACTTAAAACTATATAAATCATAGCCAAACACATGAAAACATATTCTAAACAAGTTAAAATAACCTTAATCGGATTCTAAACAACTTAAAAAACCTAAATAAAATTCTAAACAACTTAAAAAACCTAAAACAAAGATAAAAACATCAAACACATATTTTCAAAAACATAAAACAAATAAACAAGTTAAAATTTTCAATACCTGCCTCAGTTCCCTCTAGCAAAGCAACCAATGACTGTCAACTCCTCCTCTTTTTGTTTTTTTTTCCTAAGTCTGTCAATTAAATCCATGAAAGAAAAATGGTTAAAATATCACAAATTCACAATACAAATGCTCAAATTGAAACCTCAATTGCAATTACAACCCCAAACTTGAAAGCCCCAAGCCTAAAATTCCAAACCCTAATTTGAAGTTCTTAGAAAGAAACTCAAAATCAAACCCAAAATTACTTACCTATCTTGTGTTATGTCTGTTTGCAGGTGGAGGAGGCGTCGTCGGCGAGAGAGATACGGAGAGGGAAAGAGAGAGAGAGAGAGAGAGAGAGAGAAAGAGAGAGGAACAGAGAGGGAGAGATGGAGATTGATTGAGGTTGGGGGAGGACGACGACTTGGAGAGGTAGCGACGGCTTGATTCCGTCGTGGAGTCGCGTTGTTGACTGATCTGAGACAGAGCAAGAGAGGCTGAGGCTGAGGAGGTGGCTAGCTGAGTGAGAGGCGTCGAATGGTTTTGGAGGAGAGAAGAGATAGACTCAGGGTGAGGAGATTTGGACGGTCCCGATTATTCGAGGCCTTTTTACTAATAAAAATCAATGGTCTACATTAATAGTATATATAAAAATAATTAAAAAATACATAATTTTAATTATATTGGGTTGGTTCGGTATACCGTTGGGTCTCAAAATTGATAACCGCTTCGACAACCGACTTAATCGGCTCTGCCCAATATTGACCGAGATCGCAAAAGCCGATTTTTTGGCCCAAATTTTTGAGTTAGTTCAGTTAGTTTCTCGGGAGAAAATCACAGCCCTAGAAAATATGATGCGTTTCAATTATTGGTAAATAAAAAGTCTTTATTATGCTTCCACGAATTTCATATGATTGGGTCTATTATTTCCTAAAGAAATATAAGCATTACATAATTCCCTAAAATGAATGTAAGCTCTATATCATTTTCGAAAACAAATGTCACTATACACATTATCTCAGAAGTGAAATATTTTTGAAGTTAAATAGTATAAACGGAGGGTCTTGTATGACAAAACCCCTGAGAATTATGTTATTTATTGTTAGTGAAACAATACACATAACTATTTAATTTGAAAATTATTTTGAGTTTAATTACCTAACCAAAATCTATTAATAGGTCAAATTATATACTTACAATGTTTGATATTACTTAGTTCCAGAAGAAACTTACATAGATTCATACACATACACAATGGAGTTAATGTTGAAATTATGAAAACATGATCGATACTTATGGTCTTATGCTAGAAGCATATTAATCATAATTTGCTTCATATGAACTCATTTTCTGGTAAGAACCAGAAGTTCTTTGATCTTTAATAATTTATTATGTGAAAATTTTATTTTTTGATTGAATAGTTTTGGAAACCATGGTATTTATGTTACATTATATATTGAGCAAACCTGAAGATTTTGCTTTACATTATCATCTTTATATTATTTATATTTGGTCCTTGAAGGACAACATTTACCACTCCAATCAAATAGCATTATTTTGATGATACCAAAATTCCCGTCATTAGGGGGAGATTTGGTTGTTTCTGAAAGAACAAAGAACGACATGAATGATTATGAAATATATTTATTATTATTGTCTCATCAAACAAATTGGTATAGAACATAAATGCCATAAGCATATTCAAACACAAAAAGAATTGTAAGTCAAATGACCAGAAGATATACAGACACAAAGTAAGTGACTACTAATAACCAATTTGTTGCATACCTAAAGTATAATAGATATATAGGCTCCAAAGACTTAACTCCTCAGAAGAGGAGATTAATTGCAAAGTTTAAGCCCTATTCAAAATAACGCTCTAGAAGAGGTTATGATCCACATTCTATAACTTATACATCTTGGAAAAGATATTTGTCCATGAAGTGACAATCAAAGCCTCTGAAGTGGCACTGGTACCAGAAAATAATGAAAGCAATGAGATGCTTATAAATTATGCATGCGCATGCACATAAGAATCATGGGATTATGAATTGATGATATATTGGTTTATAGTACGTACTAAAGTTATCAAGGGTTATACATGATGATATTGAACCACTTGTTATAATTGTCGACAAATGTAAATAAAGATTGGCCAATTTGAAGAGGCAGTCCAGTAAAGTTGAATATTTCCGGAAAAAGTGCAATGATTAAACTCCATTTTGATTGGTTTCTATCTAGTTTGTTTTGTTTTTGTTTTTTTGTTTTTTTAGATTGAAGGACGTCCTGGTTTAAATAGAAATGAAAGCATCAGACATCGTCATGAATAACGAAGCATATTAGGATCTCATCCCTTATTCCAGCACCCATGTTTTCTGACTTTCTATCTTGAGCTACACACTCATGTTTTCTGCTTTTCCATGTCAACCCACGTAATTATAAAAAAGAAAAGAAAAAAAAAAAAAAAAAAAAAAAGAAAGAAAATAGAAAAATATAACAATATCAATTTAAAAAAAATATAAATAAGAGTTTTACAATTATACAATTAGTCTATCAAAATTCTTATCAAATAAAAAAAAATCCATGTCAATTACACAATTAATTTAACCAAAATTAATACAAATTAATCTAACCAAAAGTACATGTGATTTGGAAGTCACGACATAAAAGTAGACGTGATTACAAGTTTGGGGTAATTTTGGATGAATTTTTTAGAGCACGTATGACTTTTTAATGAATTTACGATGTTAGTCCAATTAAAAATTGACATGTGGTGCCTTGTTAATACATCATTTCAAAAAGGAATTAAAATGAGAAGTGCTGGACTACAACCCCATCCCGAAACATGCTGTGTCTTTCTTCTTCTTCTTCTTCAGATAGCTCTGCAACTTCAATTCTAAAAGCTCTTAAAAACTTCTAAAATTCATAACTTTGATTGTGGGACTTCGATTGATGAATCGTTTTCTCCTACATGATGGTGAGATTGAGCCCAATGTTGAGGCCCAAAAAACCCACGGCTTGGCCCAAATGAATTCCCGGCCCAGCGCAATACCTTATTGAGGAAAAACCGGACTTGGAGCACACAAAAGTCTGCCATGCACAAATCACACTACGCGTGCCATGCCAAATAAATAATCTCTCATTCTAGGAATCAAAATTAAGATTGTGAAATGTGCTAGTTTTACAAATCCATGCTAAATATCCCGTCAAGCATCATAATTGATAAACATGCCAAGTAACATGCCATGCCAAATGGGAAATTGTTATGTCGCACCCAATCACGCTACAAGCGTAAGTGGGCCCAAGCCACTCAAATGTCCGGGGCTTGCTTGAGTGGGTTGTGGCATGGATGGTAATAAAGTTGTCATGAGGCCCATTAATGGGCCGATAAATGGAGGTTCCGGATCGCTTGGGAGCCTCGAAACCCAAGCCCATTTATTAGGCCCAAACATATGGGTAAGCACAAAAGGGGAAAATAACCCAACCAAAAAACCCAAGCAAAATGGCCCACTGAAGTTAACCCATATAGCCCAATATTTGATGAGATTAGCCCATTTGTTTGGTAGGTTGAAAGCCCATACAAATTAGAATTAAGGGGGGCAGCAAAGGCTCCAGTATTTGATTGAAAGACAAAGCCTTGGAAGGAGCTGGGAAGACCATGTAGGCTGCTGGGAGGGAAGGAACAAGCTTTCAAGCAAAACATCCAAGAAACCAAAAGATATTGGTGCGCAAGGAGCCACCCTTCAAACCAGCAAGTATACTAAAGCTCTTTCCTTTATCATATCTGACTATGGAGGAGGAAAAGAAAGGGAGAAAATGAGATATCTGAAAATAGGAATTCATCACTAGGGAGACTGTAGGAAATGGGCCTTGAACTCCCAAATTTCCTGATTTTGTGTGAAAGAGCAGAGTCGATTGCACCAAAATAGGATGATTGAAGGGATGAGGGGAGAAAGGAAGGAAAAAACTTGGCAAAATGGGATGAAAGCCAGTAGGGTTTCTTGGAAAAAGATGGCTTCCAGTGGCTATAAATAGGGCCGCTTCTACCCAACGAAATTCATTCACAACTAGAGAGCAAGCTTCCTCTCTTACTTTCAAAACCAACAATTTTCGTGCTTAGTTCATCTTCTTCTTCTTTAGTTTCCTTCTTGGTAGGCTATTCTAACACTTAACAGATATTCTGTCAAGCTGTCGGAAGAAGTACTGAAGCTGTCTTCTTCTTTCTTATCCTCATTCTCAACCAAACCTCTCTGCAAAACCTACCTTAGTACCCCATCTTTCCCCTAGAAACCTTTTAATTTTCTCCTTAGTGCTAAACTCATGGCAACTTTGCTCCCATGCCATAAGCCTCTCATGCCAAGCTAAGATCTTATCTTTAAGCATTGAGAATTTATTTGATTATTTTCTGTTGGTGAAGGTAACCAAGGTGTTTCCTAAGGCTTTGCTATCCTTTCGAAACATTTTGGGGTCTGATCTTTGAACTCAGACACATGGGATATTTTCTTCAGTTTGCTTCTTACGGCAGCCCAGCCCATTTGTAGCTGCCAGAAGAAAAAAGCCCCTTACACCCAACAATCTAAGGTAATATTCAGGTTCTCACCAGTAACAAACAATACAACCTCTGTGGCCTTTCGTCAAGCACCTTGCGTGCATCTCTTAGGGTCGTTGTTCTGCTTGCCATGTGGTTTGCTCAGACCTCCACAAGTAGTCCATAGCAATTTTTCCAACCAATTTGTGGGGTCAAGCGACCCCTCTTGTCCCTTAATGCCATTGGTTATTGGGTATGCATATTAATTAAGCCCGTTTATTCTCTCGAATAGGTACTCTTGCTTCGCATATTCCAATATGGAAGTACATGCATAAATGAGATTTGATTTAGAACTTGGCTTATTTGGTTTATTGGGATTTGATATATGCGTTGACTATGATTTTATTGGAATGTGATATGGGTTTTCCAGGGATTATTATTGTTATTATGGTTATCATCAAAGTATATGGATTGTCTTGCATATTTATATAATTTGGATGATTTGGATTATTGAGTTTATGAAATTATAATATTGTTTATTTTGGTGTTTATGAATATTTTGGGTTATGGAATTTATGCTTTTGAGAGTTTGATATCTATGTTACATATAAATATTGGGTATTGAGTTCTGGACGCTATTATTGTCCGGATGTCTATGTATATGGGTTTGGGTACATTGGGATATCTTAGTTTTAAAGTCAGTTTTGTTATATAAATATGTATATGGGTATTTGTGTGGGCACATTTGTGGACTTGTTTCCAGGTTGAGTTTTCTGAGCATGTGCATTGAGACTGCTCTGCACAGGTATGGATTTTTGAAATGAGGTTTGGATTTGAGATTTGGTATTTGCAAATTATTTGACATTTTATGTTTGCAAGCATACGCCTAAGAAATGGTATGGTTGGGGAGAAAAAGAATATTTTGGGTTTTGATGTTTATATTTTACATAATCGGGATTATTTTGGAAGTTTCGATTATATGGTATTACATTAAAGACTAAATGATTAAGCTCGTGTTTTCCAAGAAAGTGAGAAGTATTAATTAAATGGATTTCTTTATTGTATATTTTGTTATAAGTATATTAAATTGGACTATTTTAAGTATAAGTTCGTATATATGTACGCATACAAAGGATTTTGTTGCTTGGCATTATTTTCTAAAATGGAGGGGTTATTGATGTTGCATATAAATTATGTTAAACACTTTGTTTTCGTCCACTCATATTTTATGTTTTGCGCCCCCCTGGTCCTAGATATCCGAGGTTAAGACCACCAAGTCGAGGCATCGCAGCTACTAGCTCTATAGGAACTTCCTCTTTATCTTTTTCCTACTTTCCTTCTTTCCGGGTTGTAAATTAAATCTTTAGTTGCTTTGGTTGCTTGTTTGAGTTTGGGTAGAGGGTGTGAGGCCTATTTCCTTAACTTTAGCTGTTGTGTGTGCCATTATCTTTTGCATGCTGGAAATTGGGGTTATTTCTGTATTTGTTTGCAGGTATTATAATTTGGGAATTGTTCCAATTACAAGGGAGACTTTGCTAAAATTTTGACAGAAGTTGAACTATTTATCTGTTTAAATTAGGGCTACAAAGCTTTTTAGTAAAGTGGGTCCGACATCGGGTAGATGTCGAATGGGAAGCAGGGTTCGTCATGGATTTTGGGAGGGAATCTGGGGCGGGTCATCTCAACTTGTTATCAGAGCATTAGGTTCAATTTCCTGTGGATTCCACACCTTGTGTGTATCCTTAGTATTGTTATATGTAGTGTGTTCTATTCTGAAATGATGCTCTCCGACGTGGATGACCTCATAAGATGTTTCAGGTACGTTTTGTAAGCCACGTGGTGAACTTTAACTTCCGGTTGTTAAGCTTGTTTGAGTTGGTTGTGAGTTTTGGTTAACTCATTTAAGGAGTACATTTTTTTTTAGGTAACAAGTTTTTGTTTATCGTGCTAATGAGACATTAAGGTAACTCTTGTGGTATCGAAATAGTTTTACCAAAGGTCTATTGGGTTTGTTCGGTTTGAGCCAAAGTTAATCTTGTAGGAAAGTTTGTGATGAACTTGCAGAAAATGGTCAGTTTACTAGTAAGTTGAAGCAGGAAGTTGTTGCGAGTTTAACCAGAGGAAGGTGGTGGAGTACACTAACCAGATTATGACAAGTACATCCCTGTTAGCAAATGAACTGTTTGGTTGAAATTGACAGTTTATTATAACAAAGTTCCATATGACTGTGTAAAGGTTAGTGGGGTGCACGTGTTTAGGCAGAAGGAAGTAAGACTTTTGAGCCTCTAAACTGAGGAATTTGACTTATGGTGAAGGATTCACTAATTGAAGCCAAGGAATGAAGCTGTTCCTAAGATTGTTTATAATTTACGTTATGGACAATGTTGTGGTAGTAAGTGTGGTTGGTATCGCGATTCACTCGAGAACTTGAGGGGATTATGATGGAGAAACAGTTTGTGTGGAGGTTGGTTTTGATTGGTTGTCATGGTTGCATTAAGCTGATGCAACAACAATAATGGTTCGGTTCTTTTCACTAGTGGTTGTGAGACAAGTAGTTGTATCTGAAGATTGGTATGGCTACTACCTCAGTGTTGACCATTTCCTCAAATGGAATTGCTCGTGTGTAAGTGTAGCAAGAGAAAATCTTGAGACTTATATTTTGAGATGATCGAAGACCTATGTTATGGGAAATTCAACTGACAAATGGAGTTGGCGGCAATGTTCCCTACCGAAAGGTTGAAATTCTTTGAGAAATTTGAAGGTGTGAAAGTAGAGCAATTGGAGAAAAGGAAAGTTAGCATACTTGGTTAAGTTTAAGATGTTACACTTGTGTAGCATCTAATGAAAAACTAGTTAGTCATGGGTATCTCAAGTCAAAGAGCCTAGGCAATCTTGGAGTGACGATGGTGTAAGAAAAGGAAGGTGTCGAAGATTGCATCCAATTCGGGTGTTGTAGCAAACATAGTCGGAATGAATACCATTTTAGTAGGGGATGTTTTCTTAGGTCATATGACCGTTCAATCTATTAGAATTAGTAAGTGGTTTGGGGTAAGGACAATGTATTATCACAAAGAAAGTGTTGGAGTCAGCTAGGGCCGACAAATAAAGTTGAGGAATGAAAATAGCTAAGCAAGTTATGTATCGTTCGAGTTGGATCAATGGGAGTTCATATGGGTTGTCATACCCAGAAACAACACGTGTTGAAAATGATTTCTTGGATGTGTGTTTTCAGAGAAAGGAATACTGGTGGATCCTCATAAAGTGGAAGCAGTGATAGTTTGGGTGCAACCTACCAGTATGGCTAAAGTAAGGAGTCCTTTTGGTTTTGCAGGTGACTATTGTTGCTTTGTTAAAACACATCACTATGATGATTGCACACCTTACTTAGTTGATGAGGAATGGAATATTATTCGGGTGAAACCAATGAGTACGAATTGAGTTTTCAGGAATTCAAGAGGCGGTTGACGACCACACCATTGTTAACCCTTCCCGATGACAAGGGAACTTTGTTAGCGAATCCAACTAAGTACCATTTGATCCTTTTGAATCAATTCTTCATGGGTAGAATTAACAACTTCAGACGTTTTTCCTTAGTCATCAGTAACTTTCAAAAACGCAGGATGACAGTCACTAGTGCCATTGACACACTTCATAATACCACGACTTTTAAGGATGGTTATAAGCTGACCAACCATAGGAGATAATTAGTACGATCAAGTCTGATAGACAAGAGATTGGAAACGAAGGAAGAAACATTAGAGGAGGAAACCATAAGTGCAAGAGAAAAAATAAAATTGAGCAAACGTGAGTCACTAGGCTCTGGATACCATAAAGAATAATAAACAAAGAATGATAAAGCTCCAGAAAATAAGGTCGTGTATATTGATAATAATATATAATGTCCCTTGTTTATAGTAGTCACCATGACATTTATATTTTAATAGTTTACAAGAGAATGATAAATATATAATAATAATTTACTCTTATCATGACAAACTTTAATATTGAGACAAGGCACATTGTGGACATTTCTAAAGAAAATGCATAGGCTGACAAAGCGGAAATGGGGACATGTGGAGAATATGCGACATGAAAATAAGGTCAGCGATGGAGGATCATAGGAGCAACAACCACATGAGCTTGTAGGGGTTGCCAATATCGCTGGGGAGAAGCCCAAGAGGAAGGCATATGAATAACCACAAGAGGTGCTCTTACGATTGTTGGGGTAATTCCATACAAACAACCTTGAGACATCCTAGCTGCAATTGTGTTCATCTTGGAAAACACATTAGCAATCAACAAACTGTTCGAACCAGCTTGATGAGCTTCATTAGAATGCTCCACATCAAGAATCTCGGCCACCCTTGCCAATATAATTTCACTGCAAAACAATCTTGGGTAGTAGCGCGCCATGAACTTGACATTATAAATGTCACCAAAGACTACCCTAGAGCCTTAGCAAACATCACAACTGAACCCGACATAGGATTTTAGGTCAAGAGTTTAAGAAGATAAGCCAAGTCATAAAGACCATGAAAGCAAACCCATTTGAGATGACGCAGCCCCTATTCATTTTTAGGATATGCAAAAACCTGACTACAAAATTTTCAATAGAAATCCCAAAATTCCTCATTTTCTAAAAATCAAGAGCATTTCTTTTGAGTAAAGAAATAGAAACTGGAATATGGGGGTTATAATTCTCATGAAATCTAGAGAAGTTGAATTCCCGGGTGCCCTCATTATTGCCATGGGCATCGGACAAAGTGAGACCCAACTGGATCAACTTGAGGGAATCAACGTTGAATTTGACATGTTGATAATGATGATTTTTGAGTGCTTCTAGGGGACGTCATCACAATCAAATGTACATAAGAGACTTTTTTTTTTCTGAAAGGGCAACAACTTGCCTAAGGCCAAGTCTGTAAAACCTAAAACATAGGACACGTATCACTACCACAACAATTTGCCCAAAGTCCCACATCGAAACCTTAGGCAAACATCCACTTCCTTTTCTCTCTGGGGGTCAGCGTCATTCCCCTTCCATATATCACCTCATATGTATTTGCCTCATGCCCTAATCAAGGCGTACAAGGATTGTCAGGATTGTCTTACCGAACTTCGTCAGATTAACATTCGTGTCCCTGTCGATCTTGATGATCCATGTGTCACACATCTTAGTTCAATGTTAAAACAATGTCTCCCTAATGAAGAGCATATGGTGATTTCGAAGACTGGAAACCCTATAACTTAGAGGATTAGGAGTCTTATCATTCAGAAACACTCAAAGATTGGGAACCTCTCCACTGCCCATTCGGGACCCACATCTTGGTAGAAGAAGAGCTACCTCATGTTGACCCATATTGAGGCTCTTGTTTGAAAATATTTGTCGCTAGGAGGAAGAAGGCCAGTGCAACCACTAACCGCATGCATCCGAACCTATAGGCAAGAGAAGGACATTCAACCACTTTGCATAGCCTTCTACTCTTGCTTTATGAAGAAATTAATTAGACAGACTCCCAAATGAAGAATGGAGTATATTTGTAATATATATTATGATGTTTACATAAATTTTATATACAAAATAGATAATAGTGCTTATTCGACCTTTCAAGAACTTAAACATATACTTTTGGGATACATTTTTGGTAGACGTATTTAATTATCATAGTAAAACACCATATGTTGTTAAACTCCCCTATGATCTTCTTAGGTTCCTCATAAATGTGCACGAGCACTATAAGAAAGTTGATTGGATGTTGACAGTTGAAGATGTGGATATTCTTATGAGAGACACATGGGGTGAGAATTTGTATATGATTCCTCACTATTCACCGAATTAGATTGAGAAGATTTTCGTGCTCGTTTCAGAATGTTTAGAACGTTTTATTTATAGTATCCGTTTTAGCTTGTCTTGGTACTTATTTAAAGGTGGATATTACCAACTAAACGAGCTTCTCTTGGTGCGTTTTAATTATAGTATCCATTTTAGCTTCAAATGCCACAAGCTTTTTGCCAAGTTTGTGCCTAAAGACAACATCATAGAAGGGTGGGATTTGTTAAATAACACCTATTAAGGTGTTACTCATGGGCTTCAAAGTTCCTCACCATTTCTCAAATCCGTCATTAAATTTTGCCAAACAAGTTAGGTTGATCACATGGGACTTTCAAGTTCCACATACCCCAAATCCCGTCTCTAAGACCATCTCCAACCATGTTGGGGCTAAACTCAAATTTCCACCCTCCAAAATACAACTATTCATGTATCTTTATGGCTCGAACTGTTTTTCCTCCGATGTTGCAAACTCATAATTTGAGTTTATGACTTTATTAAATTAGTTTTTTTGTTGTGAATTAATTTTTATTGATATTATTTTTGTTTAAAACTTCATGATTTAATTTTCTAAACATTTGAACCTAAAATAATTGAAATTTAATAAACAAAATATTTTTTCACTTAAAGTTAAAATCAAGCTAGAAATTGGTTAAAACATTGGGTTTTTTTTTAAATAAAAAATATATATATTTAAAAGATGCATCATTGGTTTAAAAAGTGAAAGATGAACAAGCTATTCAAAGGGAGTTGTTGGCCTTTGATGTGAGCCTTCCATGTGTTGGAATGGAGGATAGGAGTGGAGCACAAATATCTTTCACGTGGGACCTGCTTCGTATTTCCTTCACGTGGCCTTCAATATTGGCATGTTGGACTCCACAAAAATTACTAGTCCAGGCAATATTTGAATTGGAATTCAGCCCAAGATATTGCTCAACCCAAATTTTCACCCGCCCAAATACATTAGAGATGGAATTTGGACTCAAATGTCAAAATTTCAGTTTCCACCCCCATGGTTGGAGATGGCCTAAGTACCTCATCCAAACATATTCTTAGAGACTATAATGTGAGATGCCTAAGGTTTGTCCTTAGGCTGGGTTGGGCCGGGCCAAAATTTTTGGGTTCGGACCTAGCTTTATGGGCTTTTTATTTTTTGGGCCGGGCTTTTTTTTCTTTTAAATCTTTTTGTTACACATTTGTTGTCAAAAGTGATGGATAAAGAGTTTTCTTTTAAACAATAGTATAAATTACTACATAACTTAAGAAAACAAAAATATAATAGCTAAACTCTTTTCATAATATGATAAAAAGTCTTTTACACAAGACAAAATGTTAAAATGGTCCAGCCCCTCCAAAATTGGACAAATTGGTCGAGTCACTGTTTGACAGTGACATAAGAGTTGTTCAATGTCACTCAAAACGAGTGACTTACGAGTTTATTTCATGTCAGTGTTAGACAGTGACTAGACCGGTTTGTCCAATTTTTGAGGGGCTAGTCCATTTTTTCTTGGTGCCCTTCTATTTATACATATATGGTAAAGTCCCAACTCTGTCACTAAACCTAGACCAATAGCCAATATATTTAAAAAAAAATTATACTTAAAAATGAATCTTATGAAAATGTGTTACCTCTATCCCAAACTAGGATTGACATCATGAAAATTAAAGCAATTTGTGCCATTAGAATTAATAAAATCAAAATAAGAATTCAAATTCTTTATTGAACCATTAAATTTGAACTTGACAAAAAAGGGGCACTAGAAGATATAGTGTATATATGGCTTCCTTGTTACAAAATTTTAGATAACATTGAAAAAATTAACTTAACGTATAACATGTGTAAACAAAATAAGAAGTTTATTAGTTTATCATACATATTACATTATTTTGATTAAGTATAAAATGAGGTTAGAGTATGCATCAATTAAATTTTTAAAAAAATAAGGGCATAGGCTCGCAAGCCTAGGCCAGGCCAAGGGTTGCAAATCCTAAGCCCAAGCCCTACCCAACTTTAGAGTAGGCCATGCCAAGCAGGCCTAACTATCGGGTCGAGCCAGGCTTTGGCCAATAATAAATATCTCTTTTTGTTTTTAGGACCCTTCCTATTGAGAGGGGTGATCGTATACTAAACTCATACACACTACACGGATACTAGGACTCGAACCTATAACCTTACCTGTGAGAGCAATTACTCCAAACCACTACACTAGTGTGTCCTTTGCATAAATATCTCCCTTTTAGTGAAACTAATGAGTTGCTAAAAATTAAGTCTGACTTGGGCCCTATGAATATCCCACACTCAACAAAATCCAATAACTAATAACCCTTTTAGGCCAATTCAGAAAAAATAATATTTTTTTATCAATAGATAAAATAACATATATACAACTAAGAAGCCCTTTTGACATTTTTGCCCATACCTAGAAAATGTAAAATAGAATTAATATGTTAATATAATAATAATTTATATAAAAATTATTATTTTAATTGCTATATTCTTGCCGTACCAATATTCTAAATTTTAAAAATGAACCATATTGAAATATCGTATTGCCATATCCGTACTCGTATCAGTGCAACATACACCCTCACACTAGCAGGTGTTAGTTAAGCACAGCCCAGGGCTTATCTTTAGCCCCACATTGAGGCCATCTCGGACTCAAGGGGTGAAAACTCAAATTATGAGTTTTGAGTTCAAAAATCTTCTCCAACCCATGTATTTTGGGGGTGAAAATTTGAGAAATGTCAAATTTGGGGTGGAATTCCAGTCCAAGTATTGGCTGGATTGGTATTTTATGTGGGCCCAAACTCTACTTTTTCTACTCTCTTTTTTCTGGCCTGGAAGCCTACGTGAAGACCAATGTATGTTAGGCCCTGCATGACCTTTGCTGTCTGGCCAGCATATGCGACACAGCTAGCCCTTGTGCAAGTTGATTCCATTCTAACGGTTATATTTTCAAAAGTTGTGCTGTGTTGTTTTTTTTATTCTTATTTTATTCCAACAGCTATATTTGTAATCAACGATCATGATTAATTTTAGGCAATCTAAATGGTAAAATTTCACTCCAACAGCTCAAATTTAAATCCAATGGTCAAAATAATATTTATAATTAATCTAAATCAGATCCAACCTTAAAACTTATTCCAAACTCTATAAATAGTCATTCATTTGGTAAATAATCCACCCAAAATCATTTTTTTCCTTTCTCCATTTCTTATATTTTTTCATTCTACTTTCATTCTTGTTGAGAATGGCCCCAAAACCCCAAAGAGATGTGAATTGGAAACCACAAGAAGATGAGGCATTGTGCAAATGGTGGGTTTCTATCTCTGAAGATGGGGCTATTGGCACGAATCAATCAAACGACTCATTTTGGTTGCGTGTGTAACAAAAGTTTTTTGAAAATGATCCGGGCATGAGCAGAGCAAGGGTATGATCACTGCAAGCTATTACTTCTTGGTTCAAGATCATCAACCAACAATGTTCTCTATGGAAAACATGTATGACAAAGGCCAATGTAAGGCATGTGAGTGGCTCTAATCTTGAAGATGTGGTGAGTACCCTTTTTTTTTTAATGCTTAAATTTATAGTTCTAATTCTTTTCAATTATTAACTTGATTTTTTTTATTTTTTTCATGGGTAGGATATGAATACAAAAACACTTTTCTTGAATAATAATAAACCTCCGAATAGGCCTTTCAAGTTGTATCATGCTTGGCAAATCTTAAAAGATTGCCCAAAATGAAACGGCTTATGTGAATCTCCCACACAAACATTCAAACATTCTTCTCATAGTGGCAATACAGTCAATTTGGAGGAAGATGAAGATGATGTGGTCATGCCCACTCCAAGGCCGTTGGGAAGAGATAACCAGAAGAATGAAAATAAGAAAGGGAAAGGTGTTGAAAGTTATCTCAACCAAAGTGGAAAGTTCTTGTCTGAATTGGTTCAACAGGGAAATGAGGCAAATGAGGATAGGAGACGAAAGTTAGAGCTTTTACAAGAGCAACATGCCTATCAAATCTAACAAGATAAGGAGGCGAATGAACAGGGTATAAGCAAGACAGGCCCAGATGAATACAAGTTCCCCCTACAATCCAGAAGACAACTCTGGAGACTATTATCCAAGCCCACCACATAGTGGTTATTAATATATGTTTATTTGTAATTGTTATTTATGTTTATTTATAATTGTCTTTTATCTTTATTTATAATTGTTGTTGTAATTGTTGTTTATCTTTATTTTTAATTATCGTTTATCTTTATTTATGATTATCGTTTATTTTTCTATGATTAATCTTTTTTAAAATTCAATGATAAACCACATAATTCCTTAAAATCACACAACCACTTTTATAATTCAAACACACTTACATAATTTAAACACGCAACGTAGCTCATTGCCCCTCTCCTTTGCATCACCAAATGTGGTTGATCAAATCATTTCTTAGATTGTGATGCACTTGCGAAGCACGAACTGTATTATGATGGACCTTGTAGTCTAAGATAGTTTGCATGTCTCGGTTTATATTGTACGTGATAGTTGACTCAAGCTCATAAGCAAGTCTTGCTCTTGATCTTCTAGATGTTCGTGGATAATTATCATCATCATCAGATTCTGCATCTAGATCCTCATACTCATTCTCAACAATCATGTTGTGCAATATTATGCATGTCATCATGATAGAATGAAGTTATTCTTTACGCCACATACATGCAGGTCCCCTAACAATTTCCCATTGAGCCTGAAGTATTCTGAAGGCTTTCGACATCCTTCTTATAAGCCTCTTGTTTTTGGACAAATAGTACTTTTTTGGAGTATGCAGTTGGGAAATCGTATTAACCAATGTAGCCCAACTAGGGTAGATACCATCAGCCAAGTAATAACCCAGATTGTATTCATTTCTATTAACAATATATTGGATATGGGGAGAAACTCCATTGACTACATCATTGAACAAAGGGAAATGAGCGAGGACGTTGATATCATTGTTCGATCCGACGACTCCAAAAAAGGCATGCCACATCCAAGTGTCATACGAGGCCACTGCCTTTAGAACGATAGTTGGCTTATGCTGGTAGCCGGTAAACTGGCATGCCCAAGCAATGGGGTAGTTGTCCCATTCCCAATGCATGCAGTCAAGACTGCCTAACATGCTTGGAAATAATCTGCGACTAGCCATATGCAAAAGCCTGTAAAGGTCGGCCGGATTTTGGAGACGGAGGTACCACTGGCCACACACGGCTTCAATAACGGAACAAAACTTGCGCAAACATTTAAGGGTTGTAGATTCACCCAATCTTAAATACTCGTTGATGGTGTCTGCCGAGCATCTACATGCAAGCATTCGAAAAACGGCCGTTAGTTTCTGCTATGGGGATAGACTTTGTCATCCACAAGCGTCTATCTTCTGGATAAAGTATGGCTCATGTGCAACAACATCATTCAAGATATGATAGAAAAGCTCTATTCTCATGCGGAACTGCCCGCGAAAGTCCACTGAGGGATAAAGTAGTCTTTCATAGAAGTAGTCCTCCATGAGACTCTTATGATGTTTTTCTCTCTTCTGATTCTTATATTCACAGCCTACAACAGAACCACCATATTTGGATTGTTGAGCATATTGCTCTAACAAAAACGTATGGTGTTGAATGGCCATTGCAACCCTCTGTTGATGAAGGTCATCGTCATTAGAATCATCATTGAATAAATTTTGTACAGCCTTCCTAAGTGAATTCATTGTAAGAAGGGGAATGAGATTGAAGGAGATTGTGTGGTCAATTCGGTAGAATAACACTTCTTAAATACACAAGAGAATGAGATGACCTACATGTTGGAAAATAATTGAATGAAGATAGGAAAAAATAGGGAAAGATTAGGGAATCCAATAAAGTGAGATGAACAAAGATGAGAAATGGTTCAGAACATGATTGAAACAAGACAAGATGATAAATGGTTCAGAAAATAATTGAATGAAGATAGAAAAAGATAGGGAAAGATAAGGGAATCCAATAAAGTAAGATGGACAAAGTTGAGCATTGGTTCAAAACATGATTGAAATAAGACAATAGGGGATGGGAAAGGGTTCAAAAAAAATTGAAGAACACAAGTGGAGGTGGGCAAAAATTCAGAACATTATTGAATAAGGATAAAGGAATCCAATGAAGTAAAAGTAAAAGTAAAAATGGAAGAAAATTATGGCAATGGCTTCAATGAAGGGTTCAAATTATTCCGGGCATACGTATAGTGTTGTACTTGTTTTTATTTTTAGTGAAATTCTATTACGTTTTGGAATTTTAATTTTTTTTAAGTTAAAATGTTTAGAAAATTAAATCACAAATGTTGAAACAAAAATAATGTCAAGAAAAATGAATGAGAAAAAAAATTTAAGGGTTAATCATCCTTAAACAATTTAATAAAGTTGTGGATTCAAATTATGAGTCTGCGAGGTTGGAGGGGAAAAAAACTTGAGTCCTGAAAAGACATGAATAGTTGTATTTTGGAGGGTGGAAATTTGAGTTTAGCCTCAACATTAGGCCATCTCCAACCCATGAGGCCAAACCCAAAAAATCCCAAATTATTGCCCAAAACCTCTCCTAAGCCAAGCAATTGAAGGGGCCAAAATTTGGGAAAACCCAAACTTGGACCCAAATAGCAATCCAAGTATTGCATGGACCTATAAAAAAATTAGTGGAGCCCACTTGCTGCGTCAGCAGCCCATGTGAAGCTTCCCTTCGCTAGGGCCCACCAACAACCCATGTGGAAGATGCTGCCATTGGCTTGTAGTGATTTTTTTGTTTATTTTGATATTAACTTAAATCAACGATATATATTAAATCTAAGCTATTATAACGGGAAAAAAAATTCCCAACGGTTGAAATTTAAATCCAAAGATCAAAATAATGTTTTAACTTAATCTAAATCAGATCCAACATCAAAACTCACCCCAAACTCTATAAATACCCACTCATTTCTCAAATAATCTACCAAAAATATTATATTTGTAGAATTTCAATTTTTTAAGGTCATATTGTTCAAAAAATTAAATTATAAAGTTATTTAAAAAGATTAAAGGAAGAAAAGTTATCCATTAAAAAAAACTTTATTCTTAAATAATTCTTAAATAATTTAACAAAGTTGCAGACTTAAAATTTGAGTCCGGAGGCTAGGGACAAAAAACGATTTGAGTCCAAGCAAAACCCAAATAGTTACTTTTAGAGGGGGAAAATTTGAGTTTAGTCCCAAATGGGTTGGAGAAGGCTTTAAGACCATCTCCAACCCAAGGGGTGGAAACCCAAATTATGAGTTTTGAGTCGAAAAATCTTCTCTAACCTATGTATTTTGGGGGGTGGAAATTTGAGAAATCTCAAATTTGGGGTGGAATTCCAGTCCAAGTATTGCCTGGACTGATATTTTATGTGGGCCCAAACTCTGCTTTTTTTTCTTTTCTTTTTATGGCTTGGAAGCCCATGTGCTGACCAAAATTGCTGGGGCCCGCTGACATTTACTGTTTGGGCAGCAAATTTTGAGAAAAAGCTTGCCTGCGTGACATTATTAACAGACCAACGGCTATATTTTCAAAAAATCTACTATGCTGTTTATTTATTCCAACAACTATATTTGTAATCAACGATCAAGATTGATTTTAAGCAATTTTGAAAGGTAAAATTTCACATTCAACGGCTCAAATTTAAATCTAACGATCAAAATAATATTTATAATTAATCTAAATCAGATCGAACCCCAAAACTTATTCCAAACTCTATTAATAGCCATTCATTTGGTAAATAATTCACAAAAAATCTTTTTTTTTTTCCTTTCTCCCTTTGTTATATTTTTTCATTCTACATTCATTCTTGTTGAGAATGGCCCCAAAACCTCAAAGATGTGTGAATTGGAAACCACAAGAAGATGAGGCATTGTACAAATGATGGGTTTCTATATATGAAGATGGGGTTATTGGCACGAATCAATCAAACGACTCATTTTTGTTGCGTGTGTACCAAAAGTTTTTGGAAAATGATATGAGCATGAGCGGAGCCGGCGTACGATCACCGCAAGCTATTGCTTCTTAGTATAAGATTATCAACCAACAATGTTCTCTATGGAAGGCATGTATGACAAAGGCCAATGCAAGGTATGTGAGTGGCTCCAATCTTGAAGATGTGGTGAGTACCAATTTTTTTCAATGCTTAAATTTATAATTCTAATTCTTTTCAATTATTAGCTTGATTTTTATTTTATTTCATGGGTAGGATATGAATGATGTGGGCGTTTTTTTGTTCCAGCAGCTACTGCGGGCCTGGGCTGCTGTAAAGAGCCAAATGTGTGAAAATTGCCCCTGGGTCTGAGGTCAAGAATTAGACCCGAAGAATGCTTCAAAAGGGTAGCTGAGCCTTAGGAAGCACCTTAGTTACCTTCACCAGCAAAACTAACAGTCGCTTACAAATAGATTCTTAGCTTAACATGAGAAGCTTGTGGCATGGAAGCAAAGCAGTCATGAGTTTAGAATTAAAGAGAGAAAGGGCTGTGAGTTCCTATGAGAAACATGGGTTTTAAGGCAAGGAGGAAGGGGTTCTAAGACGGTTCGTTGAAGAGAGAGAGATGGGGAATGGGTGTGTTGAGTAGTTTTCGGCAGTTTGACGAAAGCTCTGTCAAGCTCTGTAACGATTTACCAGAAGAGAAAATGGGAGGACAAGGAGGAATGTGGCTCGAAATTGCAAAGGTTTTAGGGATGAGAGATGAAGCTTGCTCTTTGGATATGTGTTGTAGCTAGTGGTGAAGTAGTGGGTGTGGTGGTGTTTAATGGGTAGGAAGTACCTCCTTCTATAGCCGCTAGAAGCTCATTCTTCCCAAGGAACCCTAGTTGGTTCTCTCCAATTTTGCTAAGTCTTCTCCTCTATTTATCTTGTCTTCCTTCGATTCAACCTCTTTTGTGAAATCTTCCTATGTCCAAACACACAAAGACAAGATTTTTGGGAGGTTTAAGGCCTTCCCACAGCTGCTTCAGTGTTAACCTCCTATTTTTGGCTAGTACCTCACCTTCTTTCCTCCTTTATTTCATGGCAAGAGCTGGTATGAGAAATGAGTGGGTAATGGTGCTGGAACGACCTTTCAAGTTGTATCATGCTTGGCAAATCTTAAAAGTTTGCCCAAAATGGAACAACCTATGTGAATCTCCCAAACAAACATTCAAAGATTCTTCTCATATTGGCAATACAGTCAATTTGGAGGAAGATGAAGATGATGTGGTCATGCCCACTCCAAGGCCATTGGGAAAAGATAAACAGAAAGATAAAAAAAAAAGTGAAAGGTGTTGAAGGTTATCTCAAACCAAAGTGGAAAGTTCTTGTCTAAATAGGTTCAACAAGGAAATTAGGCAAAAGAGGATAAGAGGCGAAAGTTAGAGCTCCTACAAGAGCAACATGCCTATCAAATCCAACAAGATAAGGAGGCCAATGAACAGAGGATAATGTCCATGGACCTATCCAAATTTACTCCAAGAAAGAAGAAGTATTGGGGGAATAAGTAAGACGAAATTATTGAGGCCCAGATGAATACAAGTTCCCCCTACAATCCAGAAGACAACTCTGGAGACTATTATCCAAGCCCTTCACATAGTGGTTATTAATTTATGTTTATTTATAATTGTTGTTTATCTTTTATTTTTATTTTTATAATTATCGTTTACCTTTATTTATTTTTTTATTTATTGTCGTTTATTTTTCTATGCTTAGTCTTTTTTTAAATTCAATGATAAACCATATAATTCATTAAAATCGCACAACCACTTTTATAATTTAAACACACTTTCATAATTTAAACACACAACATAATTTAAACACACTTAGATAATTTAAACACACAACATAATTTAAGCAAACCACATAATTTAAACACACAACATAGCTCATTGCCCCTCTCCTTCGCATCTCCAAATGTGGTTGATCAAATCATTTCTTAGATTGTGATGCACTTGCGAAGCACGAACTCTATTTTGACGGACCATGTAGTCTAAGATAGTTTGTCTGTCTCAGTTTATATCGTACGTGATAGTTGGCTCAAGCTCATAAGCAAGTCTTGCTCTTGCTCTTCTAGATGTTCGTGGACAATTATCATCATCATTAGATTCTGGATCTAGATCATCATACTCATCCTTAACAATCATGTTGTGCAAATTATGCATGTCAGCATGATTGAATGAAGCTGTTCTTTGCGACACATACGTGCAGGTCTCCTAACAATTGCCCATTGAAGCTTGAAGTATTCCGAAGGCTCTTTCATACATCCTTCCTATTTTTTGCCTCTTGTTTTTGGGCTTTTTTTTTTTTTTTTTTTTTTTTTTTT